GTCTTCTGGTGGAACCGACCCTTGAATCTCTTCACCCAAAACTTCTACTCGAAATGGAAGTAAGCTCAACAAAAATCGTCTTTCCTATTCCAGTATACAACTAGTGTTTAAATTAAATAAACAAGAAAAACGATATCCACTATCTCAGTGGCCCAACAAAGAATGCGCCTCGTGATTAAAGATTAAACTATGTTGGCAGATTAGATATTAGATAGAAAAATCAAATCACTGTAACATAAACAACATAACGTGGCTACTACAATGGCCAATTCAAATCTAACTTCAAGAATACAGATTCACAAATTTTATAAAGCATAAAGAGATGAAAATGTATAAGCATGACAAATCAGGATTACGTGAACTTGAATTAACGATATTGCTTGGTCTATAATTTGGAAAATCTAGATAATCTTCATATGTCCATTAGTGGTGCATTTTACAATTAAATTTTAACTTGGATTTGGAAACGTAATAGTTTACTCCTTACACAAACATCAGATGAGCCATGGTTAAAAGCCTGTACTGTGATTAAGGAGGATCAATCTGCTCTCCCAAAATCCATAAGATAAATATCATTGATTTGGGTTAAGGTCTAGCGAATCAGAAATTGAGGATGTGTTGACCACATGTTCGCTCAAATAAATTGAGGTTAGTAAAGATAAGTTGATATTAGACATTACAAAATATAAAATAAATATCTAACCATTCCAACTGTAAATATGAATGTATTTGCAATTTGGAACATGACCTTAAAGTCGAGAAGAATTCCATATTTATTTCATTTTATTCATATTTTATTATTTTCTTTCTTTAACTTTGCTGTGAAGAATCATTATCTTTACCGGGTTGGTCGTGTCATTAAGGAGACCTCGCATTCACCTCGTCCGGAGTCCTCTGCTAAAGTAGTTATAATTCCAAGCGTTGGACTGTGGATGTGGTATATTCCCAGAAATTTCGCTTGCATTGCCAGTGAATCTAGCCAGTCTTAGCAACAATCAACTCACTGTCACGACTTATGACTGGATTAGATTTAGTTCAATAGAAGTTGTTTGACCTTGTTTTCGCAACTCGGTCATATTGGTAGGAAGACCTAAAGAAACGCACCTAGTCAGGAGTCCATTGTATGCATCATCGTTTCCAGAGTAGGACCGTGGACAAGTCTCTTTGACGAGTTGTTGTGTGGTGCTAAGAATGGCGAGGCTCACTGACGATGCCGACTACGATGCCGGCGA